AAGCCCTAAACCCTGAAAGCCCCAAATGAAAGCCGTCAGGTTGCTTTCCCCCCAACACTGAAGGCTCAGGGGAGTCTCTGGCGTTTTGGGGTTTCTGGAAGAGGGCCTTTACCGGCTTCAGGAACTTGGCAAAAAAGAAGAGGTTTAGGGTTTAGGGTTCAGGGGAGGTCATGTACGCAATCCTTGAGAACTCTGCTCCCTTGTGGCAGCTGAGCATAATATGGGAAACATGTGAAAACTAAAGGCTGTTGAGCGGACAAGCGATCCAAATGAATGCACTGGTAACCGTAAAGACAAGAGTCCTACGAACAGTAGCTGCACTAACAAAGCGTGCTGCTAGTGGTAAAGGCACTATAGAGGCACTATCGTTGCAACTGGCCTAAGTGAGCTACGGATAACTTACAACAAAGCCTGGAGGTACCAATGCAGTGAACCTTCAAGTAGGGCGCAAAGCTTTGATGGAGCCGGGGTTGAGAGTGAAGGAGACTAGCGCAGACGAGTATATCTGGTGTGCAAGCTGAGGAAGAACAGAGGCAGAACATATAAACAAGTCTTTGTCTCAAGAGGGCTGAAAGCAAGCAAGCCGCAGTAAACGAGGATGGGTGATCTCTTTGATGGAGCGTCGCGCAGGCAGCGTCAATGTACCAATCAGGCCATCGAACTCTTCCAGCTCGGCGATCTTCCGTAAAATCTAAGCTCATGAGCATCCAGAGACGGCCCGGAACCCTAAACCCTAAACCCTTCGCAGACGAGGGGCCCGGGGCTCTGTCACATGCAACTCATCAAAGTTCAATGTTGCGAGATCCTACGCAGCCCAGGCTTCAGAGTTTGGTAGTTGTGGGTTTAGGACGTTAGCAAGTGTAAGAGCTTCTCCACTGTAGTAACTTTCTGAAATTAAAGCCTTTCGGCTTTATGGGGTTACTTTAGTGTTTCTGGTCGAAGAAGCTCCTCTCTAGTGGTTCGGTGCTATGAATGACCAAAAGAGTACCAATGGCGTTCCAAAGATCTGGATGACTCGGCCGGCTGCAGATGATTTCTTTGAAGCGATACCGCTTGCCCAGGTCCCGGACCAGTTTCGTACCGGTGACTACGCATGTCTCCTTGGAGAAGCGGTAGTCTCTATGGCTGACCAGCTTGAGAACATGCTGGATGTACTTGTCGCCGAGCCGCAGAATTTTCATCCTGAACGCCTCATGATCTTAAAACCTTTACTTCCGAAACATGTTGTTGTTCCCACTTCTTACGGCAACGGATCCTCTTTAAGACACTATGTTGTAAGGCGATGGCGAATACCACTTCGGGTGACCGGCTCCCCGTGTGCATGAATTTTAGGGTTGAGCCTGCGGAAGGGTTCACACATGTCAAAATCTCCGAGAGGGAAACGGAATTCTCGCATGTCCAAACTATGATGCTGGCGGTACTACATCTGCTACGAATCACAGTTGTTGCGTTCTGCGTGCTACTGTTACAACTAATTCCTCTAGTTGCTCCCACTACTACATCTGCAGCTGCTGCCCCTGCTGCTGTTACTACCACCCTACTACTGCTGCTGCTGCTACTGCTCCTCCTCCGGCTACGACTACGGCGAGATCATGTTTCGAAGCATGGGCACCTTTAGAGGTGATGCGGCTTGAGCCGAGCAAGATGCGAAGTGGCTGCATGTGGTAGCCGCTGGTAGCCAGTAACCCACATGAACAAAGTGTTTAGAAGGATTCTCGCCGGCCTCGAAGTGTAGCTGCATTACTGATCTCCCCGACTAGAGGAACAACCCTACTGAACACAACTCGTATCTTCTAGCACTCAGGCGAGCTTCCTCCAATCAACCGAGGAGCAACACAAACAAAAAGCAGAGCAACTGGTTTGCAGATAATTTTCCACTTTTCCCTCTGCAGAGATGTGACGTTTAGCGTTTAGGACAATTGCAGCTTCGATTATCGGCTTCGGCACGGCAGCCGACGGCAAGGATCCGCGGTAACAGGACTGAGCTAATTACACAGGCCTTTGCACGACAACCCTAAACTGGCCCTAAACATTCAAAACTAAGCCTTGGTCCAGAGCAGCGCGACTACTCAGACAGGTCCTGAACCTTCCTCTCTCGCATCATCGTCACCGTCTTCATCACAACACAGTCATCATGATTTTACTCTTGTTCATCGCCACGCTGATCAACATAAGCGCCACCACAATGGTCCAGAGCACCACTGTTAGAAGCCAATTCCACCTCTTCTGCATCAGCAGCATGAAGACAGCACATACATACAAACCTCAGAAGTCAATGAACAAATGTAAACTACACGCTTACGTGGCCTAATTTGTGCATATATGTAGATATTCATACGGCACATGCGCAAGTAAGCCCTCGAGGCCGCAAGCCTTCCCCAAAGAGGGCTTGAAAGGGATTTCCACCATTCTGGTGGTTTAGGGTTTAGGGACAGTGCCCCTGCATCCAGAATCTTCGAAAACCAACTGCTGAAGCAGATCATCCTCAACTAAAAATCGAAATCTGTTTATCTATATGACAACCTGCTACTTACTATGTGAATATGGGGGCAGTAAGCTGCCATATGTCTACTGGACCTTTTAAAGTCCAGGACTCAGGTGAAGGGCTTGACATGTTGGTTTCCCTTTTGGGTGGCTCGAGGGCCTGTAAAAAAGCCTTCATATTCTCCTTGAAGCTCGAGCTGCAACAACACCAGCAGGCCAAGAGCCGCAGGACTTAAACCCTAGAAGCGCAGGCACCTCTAGGCCTCATAATGTATTGTTATGAAGGGACACTACCCATTTGGCCCCTAAGTAGTTCCTTTTTGTGGTGTATGTTTAGAATCCTATGAGGTATTCCCCAAAAGGAACTACTCAGGGGCCCATGGGTACCCTATGCCTGCGTGCTTCCCGGACCAGAGCCATGTCCGAAGCCCTGCAAGCGCCTTGGGAGTGACGGCTTCCTGGTGGATGTCGATGGCGCATCAAGAGGCCACGGAAAAAGGCATTTAGGGCTAACTGTAGGGTTTAGGGTTTAGGGTTTAGGGCGAACTAGGCTTTAGGCTTTCGGGGGGTTGAGTTTACCATCCATGGTGCACTCGATTCTAGTGTCGATGGGCGCCATGAGGGGTTTGAATGGTCATCCTCCTGCTAAAGGCTAGGTGGCTCTGCAGGGGTCGGAGTGTCGGACTTGTGTTCAAGACTTTCTTGTCTGGCTCTTCTTCAAATCAAGGTTGAGGCGAGCCTGTAGACAGTCGTGGCGTCAGTCAGAAATGGTCCTGAGGGCACAACCATGATTACGGTGTCCTATTCTCGAAGCAGTGGGGTCCAAGCCTTGTGTTGGACTTGATACTTGGAGAAGCATGGGCGACCAACACTTCGACCTTCCCCGCCGCCCCTCATGCCCCCAAGTCATAAGCCCCAACTCTTGCCGAGAGAGCACGGCCTATGGTATGTAGCTTCGGAAATCGAGAGCCTTAGCCGAAGCTCTGAACCCCATACCCCTAAACCCTAAACCCTAAACCCCAATCCGAAACCCTGAAGCATGCAGCTTGAACCCCGAACCTTCCAAAACCTCAACGGTCCGAAGCCTTGATCTCTCTTCTATAAGCCCTGTAAGCCCTATAAGCCCTAAACCCTAAGCCCTAAACCCTAAAACCCTAAACCTCTCTTCCTGTGATGCCCCAAATGTGTTGGACTTCATGGGGCGCGAGACTGCGATGGTTCCCGGACTTGAGGCTCCTTTCAGAAGGACCCCTACTCCTTAAGGCTCTGCCCTAACCCTAAACCCTAAACCCTAAACCCTACACCCTAGACCCTAAACCCTAAACCCTAGACCCTAGACCCTAGACCCTAGACCCTAAACCCTAAACCAAACCGTGTCTGAGGACTCATCTTGCAAGGCTCTTGAGGCCACGCGGCCATAGTAAAAAAGGCTTTTGGGCTATGTTGAGCCTTAGGGTACTACGACTTAAAGGAAGACTCGATCATCATGCAAAGGATGCGCCGGTTACTCTAACTAAGGTCTATATTAAACTCTTCTTACTATATTATTATATTATGTTTCGTGGTGATATACTTTATTGTACTATATTGTACTAAATTATGCCACATTATACTACATCATATCATGCTATATCCTGTCATATGATATTAAACAACATTATGTTTAAGGGTTTTCTACCTTGGGAGGCTGTGGAGGGCTGCGGTACCTACAACTGGGACAGGCCTGGAGGGGCCTCCAGTACGGAGGGTTCAGGGGGAGCCTAGGGTTTGCAGGGTTTCCCTGAACCCAGACATCGAGCCGTCTAGGGTTTCCCTACAGTGTCTCCATTGCAGTTCCTGTTTTTGGGGTTTAACCAACGTTATAGTAAGGAACCTGAAAGGTAATACCAAAAAGGAACTACAATGGAGACTGTAGGTAGGGTTTGGGCCCTGACGACACAGAGCCACACTCTCAACCTCGAGTGTCACCCTAAACCCTACACCCTAACCCCGAAACTGTGAGAACGACGCGAGGCTCCAACCATGTACCCCTCTTTGCGGAGCAGCGCGAAGATGTGGCCCACGCCTTGAAGCTTGAGGAGCACAGGGTCCTCTGTTCAATGGGTCGAGTGTTTGAGGTTTAGGGTCTAAGGTTTAGGGTTTAGGGTGTAGGGTTTAAGTAGGGAACACTATGTGAGAAAACGTCGGTACTATTGGGTTGGCTATGTCACACCAACATGCTGAGCTTGAAGGAAGTCGCTCAGCCACGGTTCGTTAAAACTCAACCTGCGCACAGGAGGTTTGCTTGGAAATTCGGTCTTCCATGGGGATCCCCAGAACGGAGTACCCCATTGTCAGGACCAACCATGATGCTCTGCCTGGTGCTTTGTAGCGTCCGGGTTGAGAGGTGCTCTACGGCTCAACCTCTAAACCCTAAACCCCACTGAGAAAAAACATGAAATACTGGGTTCTTTCCAGGCTCGACAGGAGTTCTCGAATTAACTCTCGATCAGAAACCCGAAAAGGCCTAGCCGGCCTGCACTCCAAACAATACCTCTGGTCCTTTTTGGAGTAGATTCACAAAATTAGACTTGGTTCAACCAAAAAGGGAACTACAATGGAGACTAGAGGTAAATCTTGAACCTTTCGAGTCAACCCGGTGGCCTAAACCTGAAGCGGTGTAGGGTTTAGGGTTTATAGGGTTTAGGGGTACCGTAACTTGCGGTAACTCGTTCAGCTCCCTCTGCGGAGGGCCCGGCTGCAGCGTTGGCGCATCGTTTCGCGAGCTTCCTGGCTGCTGGCCGTGAGCATCGAAATTTGCTGGATTTCATACAGGGGCCTTAATATAATAATAATAATAATACTAAGTCTAATACTAATAATAATAGTAATATAATAATACTAACAATAGTAGGTAGCGCGTGTTTTCCATTGTTCAGGCATCTGTTACGATGGTCATCAAACACGCGTGGGTTCGCACCGAACAGAGTGCGTCACTGCTGCAGTTGCCCTTAGAGGACCCTTTTGAACCCAGAACTCTGACCTCACAGCTGGGACCTGCTCACGTCATTTCAGAGCGCCCCTAAACCCTAAAACCAACAACTAAGCCGTAACTCAAAGAACCCCGCCCAAAGATGAAAAATTGAGATTCCGAGACGTTTGCTGCTCAGGCCGGGCTATAACAGAACCGAATTGCACGAGAACATCAGTAGCCCACCGTATGTCTTTGAACGCTCGGTATACATACCAATCTCATTTTGTCTCTGTGTTCTCATGTGCAGAAAAGACGCATAACAAATAGGTTGTAAACATGCATATAAAAGCATGAATATACAGTTGAATATAAATATACATAGACATTTGCATATACATATCCATGCAAGAAAGGGAATACAAACAAACATAAAGCATGAACACCACATATATATATATGTGTGTATATATATATATATCGATATCGGTATATACCGATATGTATGCAAGTATCTATATCTATCTATATATATATAGAATAAAGAGACATAGGTACACTTTGGGCTATTTCACGTCGTCGAAACTAAAGACATCGCAGAGAAAGCTCCGAGTCCAACCTGCATCTATCAAATAGCAATAATAGTATTTAGCGAAAGGAGTAGTAATTGTCATAGGAAGGAAAAGGAATAGACATAGGACTAGTGATAGTGACCAAAGGCATTAGCAGTAGTAATAGCAATCGCAA